TTGCTTAAATGCAGGTGCACATTCTGCTTAAAACGTTTGTTATTTTACATTTCAACTGTGATGGAATTTATGTCTTAGACTCTTAGTTTGCTCATAGTTTGCTGGTAATGGGCATATAACTCCCGAGCTAAGTTTCTTGAGAGAAATCCCTTTTTTTGAAGATTTAGTGCAGAATGTCAGAAAACTAAATACTTATAGACTAAAATTGCTGAATTATATCGTCTCAGCAATTAAACAAATTTTCGCTGGTTCCTGGAGAACAGAACAGTAATTCTTATAAACGGAAAGTGATACACAATCATCAAGGCAACGCGCAACTACACACAACATATTTTCCGTTGATAAATGGTTACTGAAACTGCTCCAACTGCATAGAAAGCTCGAGTTACAAAAAAAACCGGTTAAATCGGCTAGCTAGTAATTACGGTTTCAGGTTACACGTTTGGAACACTGTTATTTTAGCGGTTACGTTAAATACCGACTATCCCTATAACATAGACAAGTATACTATGGCGTTACAATAGTATTGGAACGTAACGGGTCATAACGTATGCGAGTTGCGACAAGTTAAAAATTGGTTTCAAACAGATACGCAATAGTGACTAGCCGCTAGTGTTTTAATATGGATCGTTGGTTAAAAAGCGGCTCTTTTAAAAGACCGCATAAGGAACCTTTGGCAGAAGCTGATGAGACGGAACAACAAGCAAGTACTTCTCAGGAGTCACAAACTCAATTTAAAGCAGATAATTCGAGACCAAAAAATATTGGTAAATTTCGTGGGAAGCTACGAAAATATAATGAAGAATATTTGGAATTTGGATTTATTGAAAATACCGCCAACGACGAGTTAAGACCACAATGTTTTATGTTTTGATGTACTTTCAAATGAAAGTATGAAACCGGAAAAACTTCAACCTCACTTAAAAGGAAAGCACCCTGATTCACTGGATAAATCTGTCGATTTTGTTCTATTGAAAATGAAAGAACTTACAAAGTGGAAAAACTTAAGTGTTGGTTCTGACAATGAAAAGGCCACACTTGATTCTTTTCAAATTGCGGAATTAGTTGCTAAATCTGGATAGCGCCGCACTACAGCATAAGATTTACTTCTTCCAGCTGCTCAGACCATGTGTAAGACTATGATTGGTGATTCAGCTGCAAAACAGTTGCACGTAATACCTCTCTCAAACAACACTATAAAAAGAAGATTAACCGACTTATCTCTTCATATTGAGCAGACTTTAATTTCAAGACTCCAGATTTGTAAAATGTTCGCTAAACAACTTGACGAAAGTACAGATATTTAAAACAAAGCAATTTTGTTGGCATTTGTTCGTTACGACTATGAAATGCATGAAGACTTTTAGTGTTTACGGGAACTAATGCGTACTACGGCTGACTGTATGTTTAATGCTTTGAATGATTTTTTTACTGAATCTAATATAAGGTGGTACAAATGTGTTGGATTAAGTACAGACGGGGCACATGCTATGTTAGGAAAATTAACCGGTCTTGTGGCACGCGTAAAAAGTGTAGCACTTAATATAACATGGACTCATTGCTGTATCCATAGGGAAGCAATAGCTTACAAAAAATGTCTCCATTATTATAATCAACCCTGGACGAAATTGTTAAAATTCTTAATTTTATTAAGGCCAGACCAATAAACTCTCGGGTTTTTCAAGCAATATGTGAAGAAGCAGGCAATGAACACGTTCAACTCCTTTAACATACAAAAGTACGATGACTGTGCCGGGGAAAAATTTTGGCTCGAGTTTTTGAACTTTTTGATACGGCTTTTTTTAAATGACAATAAATTTGAATTAGCTGAACGACTTAACGATGTTCCTTGGATGTGCTTGACAGCATACTTATCGGATATTTTTGCATTTTTAAATTAACTCAATCTACAATTACAGGGCAAAAGCATACATATTTTTGAGGCTGAAGAAAAAATAGAAGCCACCATACAAAAATTACATATTTGGGATAACCGCGTGGAACAATCATCTTTAAGGACATTTTCTTCTCTAGATTCGTTTTTGAAATGCGAGGAAGAAATTTAGCCACAAGAGCCAAATTTAACTTATAATTTGTGCGCATTTGCAGAATACTTATAGCTAAAAGTTTTCATGAATATTTTCCGGCTCCAAATAGTGAAAACTGCTGGATAAGAAATCCGTTTGCTACCTCAAGAATTGAAAAAAATGCAACTCTTACAGAAAAACAAGATCAGCTTGTCGAGTTGTCTCGTAGCAGTTCTAAAAAATAGATTTTTAACGACAACGATTTAGTTCAGTTTTGGATTAAAATTAATTTTGATTTCAACGAGTTCTCAGAAAAGACTATTAAATATTTGATTCCGTTTTGCACGACTTATTTATGTGAACAGACTTTCTCTGTATACGTTCTTTTGAAACCAAAACAAAGAAACCGGCTGGATGCTGCTTCAGATATAAGACTAAAAATTTCAAATAATAGACGTGATTTACAAAAAATTATGATGGAAAAACCAGTGTTCCACTCTTCTCATTAAAATTGTTGAAAAAGTGTTATAATTATCATGTCATCAATTAATTTTATTTTGATTTTTTATTACTCATAAGTCTTTTAACAATTATTAATTACATTAATAACTTTACCGCATTACAACCGAATAGTTGCTTTATTTTTATTTTTGTAACGAAACTGTTTCTGGGGTTCCCATGATACTGGCGTCTAATTTTGGGGGTCCGCAGATTCGAAACATTTGGGAAACACTGCCTGTGAGTAACGTAGAATCAGCTCACCTGAGGGTATCGGTTGATGGCCGTTGGATGTGGATAGGGCTGGTAGCCTCTGGCTGCTCCTGGATAAATGTTGCGCATCATCGCACCGTTACATCCAGGCAGCACACTTGGAGCCAGAGCTTTTTGGAGCTGCTTTTCCTGTTTTCGGTATTTTGCTCTGCGGTTTTGGAACCACACCTGAAGAGAATAAAATAATATAGTTAGTTAATCGTGACACAATCAGAAAATGATTGTATGATAGAATATATAATATATAAATAACATATAATGATTGAATGGTTCATAGTTGAATGTGAAGGTTTTAGTTAGGACAAGTTTAAAGCGACAAGCTACAAAGTTTAGGGGTCCTTTAAAGTACAAACATTCTATCGAATACTTTGGTTGAATACAAATACTCTGGCCGAAGGAAACTTGAAATTGAAAACAAAGCTCATTTGGTTGCAGCAAGCGGGAGAAATCCATCCGGCAGAAAACCAACTTATCCAATAGAAAAAGTGATTCTTCGACATTAGGAAACTCTGATAAGACGTTCGTTTCATCGTCAATATAGTAGGCCGGTCCCCCGTCGCTGTTGGATTATCCCAGTGCTAGGGACAGCTAACTTCGTTACGGATCCATTTGATGGAATGGAGGGTTGTTCCGACCATCCCCCTCACGACTTGCTCCTTTTTCCCCATTGCCGAAAAACGTGCTCCAACCGTTCGTCCTTTGTTTTACCGATTGTTTCAGCCTCGTCGTTTTGATACGTGAAATTATTCTTGATGCACCATCACACGTTTGCCCTCGACTCCAGACACTTACGTCTATGTGCAGGTGGAACCAAGCTTATCTAATTATCGATAAAATTTAATTTTGAAGTGGGAATGCCCAGAAGTTGCCAAAATCCATCAGCAAAGCCATTAACTTGATAATAAATACAGGATGGTGTCTTTATTCAGGGATTTACTTAAGAAGGTAGCAAAGTTTGCATTTGCTATTTAGACAAAACCATAAAAACACTTTTTTAAAGTCTGCTAGAAAAATTGACAATATTTTTTTAAGAGCAATAGAGCAAATTTTTTCCAGTATTAATATACTTAATAAGGAAACATGAGAACCTTTAGAGAACTGAACAAACCGCTCCGGTTTGGTCTGTTACATAAGTAATTTTATAATAAATTTATCAAAAAGTTCAAAATTCCTTAAATATTTGTAATTGAAACGATGATGCAATTTTTTCAAATTGTATTTATCTTTATTTAGTGTAATATTTATTATAAACTGATCAACAAATAAACACACCCAAATTAGCCTTAACACTGGAAGTGGATAATTTCTGATTACTTAGAGCGATTTGGTTTCAATTATCGCCATCTGTTCCGATCGAATATTTTTCTGTAACTTCTGGTTTTGTCAAAAACTCAGTACTACATAGTTTACTACCAGGTGGAAAATGACCAAAAACCATTGCAAAATTAGTGCAATTTCGGCATGCTTTAAGTTGAACAAAAAAACGCGTTGTTTTTTATTTCTTAACACCTAAATCATAAAAGTTGACCGCATTTCCGAAACTCTTTATAAACTTTTTGCTAACCTTTTTAAATACGTAGTTACCTCAAAAAAAATTCCTTTTTGGTTTTGCTGTGATAACATTTTCCCACTTGTATCGATTTTCGTTTGTTTCGAGTCTCGAGCTCAAATTGAAGCTAATACTCCATAGATGACTTAAGGCGAAAATTCAGTATACCAAGTTTCATGCAGAGACCCGAACCGGATATGGACCCAAAACCGAAACGGAACCGTTTTTTTTGGACCGGAACCGGAACGGAACCCATATTTGATATTAACACACTGTTAGGTGCTGAACCGGAACCGAAATATTTTATTTCGGGTTTTTCGGTGTTTTTTCGGTTCTGCTTGTAACGTTTGAAAGAAATACTGTAAATTTTACAAGCCTGCGTTCGTCTCGTAAAATCACGTGATACTTCTATATTAACGCACAAAAAAACGGACGTCTGATGTTACTGAAATATCAGACTAAAACGTTGAACCTCATATTATTTGTTTGGTCTTATAATTCAGTGTCTACAGAATGTCTTTTTTTAATATTTGTTTTCTGTCTTTTTAATAATAAATTTATTAAAACTTTCTTAATTTATAGGAATTCTAAATATCACGTGATCGTCCTTGTTTGTGAATTGAACTGTATCTATTATCTAGGGTCATCACGCCACAAATTTAAAGAAACACCTTGTTCGATCATATAATTTTGCCGAAAATCAATTTGAAGTAGAGACAAACACAAAACGATCATCAACTCAACCATCTTTAAGTGATATGAATACCATTGGAGAAATTGTGTAACAGGGAAACATCTAATTGATGCATGTGTGGAATTAGTAACTGTAAATGGACGACCATTCACTTTAATGGATAATTCGGGATTTAAAAAAATATTGAAACCTTTACAAACTGCTTTGGCACAACAAAGAACCAAAAACAAACAGGAATCTCTGTCAGCTGAATCCATTAAAAAATATATTTCTCTGGAAGCTGCTGAGAAGCTAAAAAAATTTAGAGGAACAACCGACTTTTCAATTGAAATGAACAAACACCGTACGTTTATACACTATTTTTAAAATTCTGTTTTAAGTTGAATTATTTTAGTTTTTCGATCACCAACAAAGAAACATTTGAAATTGAAATGTTGGACAAAAGCAACTCCCCAAAAGATGGCGAAGACATGAACCAGGAAGAACAATGTTTAAAGGGAAATAAGAGTGCAAGAAGAAGAAGTGACGAAGTTGTGGACCTGAGGGAAAACGGAAGGAAGAGAAAAGCGCATTAATTGACAAATTAACCTGAATTTCAATCCTTATGTGGGGTTGCTAGTCCTCCTACACTCCTACCCCCTACCATACAACCAGCCGAAGTACCGTATGAAGCAGTAGATTGTTTGCGTATCTTTTATCTTGTATAATACAACCAGCAAGGAAAAAGATAGTGAGATTCCTAATTAGAGTATCTTTGTCCTCGTTCGAAGTTACATATAGATTTTGTAACCGAAATGAACCGAAAAAAACCCGGAACCGGAACGAAACCGAATTGGAAATTATTTTCTAAACCGGAACCGGAACGGAACCGAAATTTTCAATTTTGCCTTGGACCGAAACCGGAACGGAACAGTTATTTCGTTTCGGTCCGTGTCCTTGGTTTCATGAATGAACAGATTGTTTGAAAGAAAACTTCACTTTAATTGAAAGTCTGCCAGAAACTCATATTTTGGGAGGGTATTTCATTTTGCTCACTTTTGATTGTGCTTTAGATTTGGAGAATCGAATAAAAGAAAAAAAATGACTGCAAGACCAGGAAATGTATTTTTTCAGATCACCCTGTAAATAATTAAGATACGCGAAGAATTAAAAGTCCGTTGTGGCATATGGTGTTGGAATGCAAATGAGTTTTTGATTTAACTGGGAGTTATCAACTATAATAATCAACTACATAACGCTTCAAACAGAAACCAAACCGCTCGCCACAACCAGAATTTATTCATTTTCAAAATAAGGGTAAATTTGGTCGAAAGACATTTTATACTCTTATTTTTTATATTATTACTTATTAGAACCTGCTATTTAATACAAAGATACAAAAGTGTTTATGAGCGGATTCAGTAGATACAAATTATAACAAACGAAGGCACGATTGATGTACAGCATGTCCCAAAAACATGCAACAAAAGCTTAGTCTTCGATATAATAGGTGTACAAGTTATAAGCTGCACTTAATAAAATAATTAATTGGGCACTTCAAACTTGTCTTCCGCTTAATAGCCCAATGAAATTCTGTACGCGTATTTTTAAAACAGCTTTTCTATACATTGGACTTAAGAAAAAACAGCTTAAAATATTGGTTAGTTTTACAACTCGAACAATATACGATTCTCTCTGTAACAGCCGATACCTCAAAAATGGTTATCCTGACAAGTTTCGGTCACATCTAGGTACATTCTTGATTCTAAGGAAAATCTAAAACATTATGCGAAACGTCGATACACAGTGGGACAAAAAAGCAACAGTCATTTTGATTGTACAAAGACAAGTTAGCATTGGCGGATCTGTGTTATAAATGAATGTAAGTCACTTTTTAGTAGCATAATATTCCGGTAAAACAATGAACGTTGAGTTAAGAAAATTCTGACGACTTTGTTTTAGTGTACCCTGTATAACTAAACTCTATTTGCCAGTAAAAGGTGGCTTTAAAAGTCACCTGAAAAAGTTTATTTCCGAATAAAGTGCCCTGTATATAAGATAGTTGGCGTAATTTCTAAACGAAAAGTATGTAACAAAAAATTCAACTGATGTTGTGGTTAATTCGTGGTCGTGATGATAATCGGTAATTATTTAGGTGGGTGGGTTTTCCCTTAGGACTCCCCCTGGACCTTTTCCAGGGCTCAAAAAAAAATAGTGTTTTATTTTTGCCACCATCTATTGACCGAAAAACCCACAATTAATTTTTGTTTATTTTTGAAGATTTAAACACCACAAAATTAGATATTAATTAGATAATAAGACAGATCATTAAACGAGTAAATCGAACGGTTGAAACATGATGGACAGAATTTTATCATAGAATGAGAAGTTCTAATTTAAGCAGGAAGCCAAAATAAAAAACAAATTGCCGACAATTATCAGGAAAAATGATCCGTAATCGAATACAGTACAACCCATATAAGTATAAATTACTCTATAAATTGAAGCTGAATCTTTTTGCGTACGTGAAACATTTTTTTAGCAAAAGTCGGAACTGAGTTAAATTTGCTAGAGTTTTTTTTGTAAATGTTCGACTTCTTCGTTGTCTGTAAAAATATGGAAAAATGTTCAATACAAAATACAACCAAAGCGAATGAGGAAATGAAGAAAATAATGGAAAATAGAATAATCAATCGAACTCTTTAATAAAGCAGTAATAATAAAGATTTGGTTAATTATAGTTTTTTTCAATCTCAAAACTCTTAGCCAACTTGTCATCCATTGACTGATTTAAAGGAAAAAATGAGTCACTGGACATTGCCCGCCCTTTCCGAACGACAGTTGCGTCTCCTGGGGGGAAAGTTGCTTAGAGCACCACCCCCCAAGTTGAGCCTCTAATTCAATCAGAGATTCAGCTAGAGTCACTCGCTTTCTCTCTCGCGCTCTGTGTCTTTGCTTGAACCTGGTCGGCACTTTCATCTTGGTTTTGGATGAAAGCTGCAATTAGCATGGACTGTTTCGTATGTGAATTGCTCTTCCGGATAAGGCCCGAGTGGCAGGAGTTTGAATCTCGCTAGAATCTCACCGCATTCACTCATTTGCTTTGTCCTCATATTAGCCTCTATATTTTCAGCCTGCGATTTCACGTTGTGTGGTTTGTTTAAATTTCCTTTGTTACTTTACCGGAACCTAACTGATTGATTAGCCATGGATTGGCATGACCGGAAATTTCAGAAAATTAGCCGATATTTTTTTAAATAATATACAGGGTGCGTTTTTTTCGATGACTAGTACGGGGATCTTCGAAACTAGAGCAGTTACGAAGGTCAGATGGGCAAAGAATTGTAGTTTTGAATGCTCTACTCAAAATCAATTTTATTTTTCTAATATTTGACAGCTGTCAAGAGATTTTTGGGAAAAACTTATTTATGGTAATTTTTTAAATTGCTCCTAGTTCCGTTGATATTAATTTGACAGGAAAACATTAAATAGAAAACTGGTAGGAAATTGAATTCCAAACAAAGTGGCATAAGGCGTTTCTTCAAAATAACTGTCATTTTTGACATATGACACAAATTTGAGTTTTTTTAAGTGGCAACCATACTTGATTATTGCTTTACCGAATAGAGCATTTTATTACGATTTCTTTGATATGTCAGATCGTTAGGTTTTTGTCGAAAATAAAGTGTCTGGGAACAATTTATACTTTTTCAATTTAGTGGGTCTAAGTTAGTCATGGAAAATAGTATAAGACATAGAGCATTGTTTCCCTAGCAACAAATAATAACAACATTTTTGGCATTCAAGTTTAAATACAACTTATAAATCTAAGTTAGTTTTATTATAAATTATTAAAAATTGAAATATGTTGTTATTATTTGTTGCACTGGAAATTTTTTAATTTTTAAATTTAATTATATAAACTATTTGTTGCCCTGTCTTATACTATTTTCCATGACTAACTTAAATCAACTAAATAAATTGAAAAAGTATAAATTGTTTGCAGACACTTTATTTTCGAAAAAAACCTAACCATGTGATATATGACAGAAATCGTAATGAAAAGTTCTATACGATAAAGCAATAATCAAGTATGGTTGCCATTTAAAAAAACTCAAATGTGTGTCATATGTCAAAAATGACATTATTTTGGAGAAATGTCTTATGCCATTTTGTTAGGAATTAAATTTTCTACACGTTTTCTATTTAATATTTTTTGATCAAATTAATATCAACGGAACTAGGACTAATTTAAAAATTTACCATTAATAAGTTTTTCTCAAATATGTCTTGACAGCTGTCAAATTTTAGAAAATTAAAATTGAGTTCCAGTAGAGCATTCAAAACTACAATTATTTGTCCATTTAGCCTTTTTCGTAACTGCTATAGTTTCGAAAACCCCTGTATTGGTCATCGAAAAAAAATCACCCTGTACATACCTACATTCTTAATATTAACTTGGCCTTTGAAATCGCCCAGTATTTAAAAATTCAGCCTATATGAGCTGAAAACTACCAAAAAGTCCTTTTGGGTGTTCTCATAATGCTGATTTTGCTATCAACAATAAAAAAACTCACCTGAATTCGAGCCTCATTCAACTTGGTGCTCCTGGCCAGCTCCTCCCTGCAGTAAATATCCGGATAGTGGCTCTTAGCAAAAGCCGCCTCCAACTCCGCCAGTTGTTCTTGAGTGAAGGTAGTTCGGTGTCTTCTTCGTGCAGGTGTGGGACAAGAAGCAGTGGTAGGAGTGTGACCAGCATGAGTGGGCCCCCCCGGAGACACCGCGCCCCCTATCGAAGAACTGCTGGGCGTCTGGGGCTCCGGTTTGAGTTTCTTGAAGGCCCCATCTAAAAGCGAATCGAACAGATTTCAACTACACCGCTAATAATCCTGTACATATCAATGGGACATTCGGGCACAGATGGGCGAAAAGGGGGACCAGCGTGAGCGAGAGTGTCTTAATGAAGCGCCGATTTACCCTGCTTACGGTCGAGCATATGCACAGGACAATGATTTCGGTTCAGCGATGGTCTAGTTAACACTCAATTTCACTTATAGAGAGGGGCACGGCCCCCCGAAAGGTGCCATGTGTGTTCGGCTTTAGGGGATGATGGGCTGGAGCCTGTAATTACGGACTTTCAGTAAATAACAATAATAATTGGGTAGTCTTTTGGTTGTGGATCAGATGGGAAAATTCGATTTGGCTGAATTAGTAGGTTCAAGTGGATGGATCTGCAGGGGGCTTAAAACTTGCTCAAAATCCAGCTTAGAATTTTTTTTGGAGGCTGCTGTATTGAGTAGTTGTGTAGTATCGGTTGTTTTTCAATATTGAGTTTTTGCCCGACTTTCTAGTTTCTGGTAGAAGGCTAAAAATTAAACATCCAGCCAAAAGTCCGAATTTTAAATCCTCATCAGTAGGACTTCACATGTATATGAGTAAAGTCTTGCCTTCAAAGAGATTGATGAAAATGATATCGATTTTTGCTTAAAACTAATGGAAATATCAATTAAATTCCAAGAACTATTTTTAAAGTATTTACCAAATCATGTTCTGGTTCAAGAATGAAAAATAATGCTTGGCCCTCTATCAGAGGCTAAGAAATTCTAGAAGTCTAACAGTTTGTTTTTATCACCTGAACTCTCTCTAACCGTTAAAAATGGGAAAATGTTAGGAAACTCGAGTTTCAACCGCGACTGCATGAAAACATGAAAGCAATTTTAAAAATCATGTCGATAGAGGTTTGCATCAAACAAAATTCAATAAATTCATACTTCAATTTTTTTAACTTTCGCCTACCTATTATTCAAAATAATTTGAGACTAATCATAAATACTTAATTTAAAAAAAAAAATAAAATGTTTATTTGCATTTAGAATTTGCCCTTAATTTCACTGGCAAACGGACACTATAGATAATTTGTGCAACTGCAACATTTTCAAACACTTGCACTTCCCAATTTTATTTTTACCTTCCACTTGAACCACAAACTTGACCGTCAAATGCCCATTAGCCACCTTAAATCGCATTTTTCCACTGAACTTCACCCCCAATTGCACACACACAATTCAGATTAACATCGGCCACAAAAGATTAGCATGAAAGCAGGTCAACATCTGTGTGCGTTCGCCCCAATCCCAACCAGCCCCTTAATCGCCCTCCGGTGTTAATAAACAGTTTGGCCTCCACACTCTCCAGATTTAGCAATGGACTTTTTTTGAGTATTGATTATTTTACCTGTATGGTCAGCTATCGTTCTAGAAGGTGCTGGAGGCGTGTGAGCTGGCGTGTGGTTGCCGTGGTGGTCATGCGAGTGCGGCAACCCGCCATAGAGGGCACTAAAGTCTTCGGCGGAACTTCCGCTCGTATTGCACTTCCGGTTCGATTTGTCTGCCGATGCTGAAGCGGCGAGATGCTGATGGTGGTCTTCTAAGAGCCCTTGAACTCCTGATAATCAAGCACCACATTTTATAATTAAAATAATATACTTTTTAATGCTAATGATTCTGTTGCATTTTCTGAATCTTTGACTCAAATTAAATCACGTGGGTTTGGAGAAATTTCGAAATATGCAAAGGAAATAAATGCGTATAGCAAACAAGTTTATTTTAACTGAAAATGTCATGTTTGCTATGTCTATTGAAAAGGCTTGAAACTTAATGTGTTCTGCATTTGTTGTCTTTCTCGAGAAATTAATTTTGGGCCTAATTAGAACTTAATTTCACGCATTTTTTAACACTCAGAAAATCCGGTTTAAGATGCTCCAAACTCAGGATAAACTGTTGTTTATTTGCCTACTAAAAAAGTCAAAACTTCCTGTTTTTCCACGTATTTCTTAGCGGTTTAATTTAATTTCTAATTACAGATTTCAATTAAATTTTCAGATTTTTATTGGTTCTTTCCATTTTCCAAATGAGTCCAGTTATGGTCAAATAAAGTCAGAGAAGCCCAGAATTTACTCTCTGAACCCTGAGATTTAATCTCTAATTTGTTAAAATACCTAGACAAACTGTTTATTAGCTTCTGGTTCAATTAGAGTTGTATTTCTCACTATTTCTCAACCATTTCTGAAGATCATGAAATTTTCAAAACCGACCGCTATGGGCAAAAGAATTCGAATAGGTACTTTACTGCTCTTTTCTGATATTTTCTTCTAAGATTCTTTTAATATTTTGAAAAACATTAAGTTATGTTTTAATTCATTTTTATTATCGGTTGTTTTTTCAATTTACTTTAAAGCAATTCTCAATCAAAAATGGAGTTTTCCAAAATTTTGAAACCGGTTTGAAACTGCATCATTTTGGGCAAAAGTTTGGGTTGTTCTTTTCTCAGCAACTTGCAAGTTGCATAATGCCTATTTTTATTAATTATACCACATTTCATGTGATAGTGATAGATAAAATAATTTATTCTAAATTTTCAGAATTTCTCTAAATGGTTTCTAACGGTTTTGATCCCGAAACGTTTCCTACTTGAGTTTTGTCGGCTTTGAAAAGTCCCATATACCATACCAACTTAGAGTGTTTTAACAAAATATTTTTCAGAAATACAGGGTGATTCAAAATTGGCGTCATTCCTCTGGACGTGTTGTCCTCATAACCTCGAATTTATGTGTATACAAATAAACATACATTTCTGTCTTTAAGTTCAAACAAGTTACTGCATGTGCAATCACCTGGACATGGACAATAAAAACCAGAACAAGAGCCTTAAAAGCCTGAAGACTGCAAAGTCGTTAGTATCCTCATATTTTACAATTACAATATTTTGTAAGTTTGTATGAAAGAAAATAATATTAACAATTATCAATTAGCATCTGTGAAATTTAAACAAAGTTTTATAATTTGGAAATATTACACGAAAACCAGATTTAATCTCGGCAACCAAACCAATTTTCTAGGTTTGTTGATGATTCTACTGAAAAAGATACGCAATTTAGCGTGTTATTTTTTAAGATTTTGTACAGTAAATTTTAATATTTTGTAAAAGTAATTAAACAAAATAGACAGTTGCACTTTGAACAAAATGGGCACCTAATTTTTCAAAACTCGTCAATTTATTGGGCTTTTGGCAGTGATGGAAAATAATTTCTTCTTAACGTTTTGCAAACACGATGGCTTGCATCTTCAGAGATGGGTTGCTTGCATCTTCAGCGCAGCAATTCATTGCAAACCGCAAAAAAATCATTTGTTCGACGGCCTAAAAACCCGAAAACCTTCCTAATTTCAATCAATGGCTGCAAAACTCACGAAGATTTGCGAATAAAATCAGAAAGAAGTAAATTTTAGAGAAATTAACAGTTACAACAGACAAAACGAAACATTAACTAACGAAATTTTTTTTGCAGTTGAGACATTTTTGAATCGAACTCATTTGCTAGAAGTAAAGTGAAAGAGGAAATGAGAAAACTTTAGACACAATAGTAATAAGAAATTCAGGCGAGTAAGTAGAAAGCGTCAGAAGGAAAACGTTTCTAAATCCGTTCGGCTCGTAGTTTTTAAGTAAATGATTTTCAAACATAAGTAAAGTAACAAGAAGAAACCCATGGAAAAATTTAGAAAAATGCATACAAGTAAGAAAATTAACTACCTACAGTAAGAAGTTGATAATAATGACAAAAGAGGAACTGGGAACTAGAAAATGATAAAGTTGGTTGTTCAAAATAAGCCAGATCAAGAGCCTTTAGAAGAATACTTCAAATGAAGAAGATCGCATTCAGCATGGTTCTAATAGTATGATAAGTATCTCATACAGGGCGTTGCCGTTAAGTTGGGAAAATACAATATAAATCCGACTACATCGTTATTCCATCCAAAACATGGAAATGTTTCCATAAAAGAGACGGGGCATTGGCATAGAAACCCAACAGAGTTTTGTATTTGTACAGCAATGCGGCTCTTGTCTATTGAATGTTCGGTTCTCCATTTCTCTTGAATGCATAATTTTTGAAAAACTACCACCTACCTAATAAATTGCCGACGCCGACCAAATTGGGCCGCAAATCCTCCATCATCGATTTGCCCTGTGGACAGGCGTTAAAGTTGAGCTGTCGCGAAAAAATCGCCGGAAATATGTTGAATTGCTGATGGCTCAAGTCTTCCCCTGTGGTGGAAACTGCGGGGGCAGGCGAGGAGCCCAGCGCCCCCAAACAGGACGAGACCCCCTTAAAATCCAACTTGAGGCTTTGCTAATCTGTTGTTGAAGAGGAAATGTTCATTGAAGATCCACAATCACTTAGCAGGCGCTTCTAGAGACCAATTGTTTGGTTGAATTTTTGCACTGCAGAAGAACACCCGTTTCGGTTTGAAGGCACAGCTGAAGAGTTGGCTTCCAATAACAAACGGCACAGTTATCGGGGGTTGAAGAAGGTTTGGTGGATGAACCTGCAAAGACCGAGCGATGATGAAGACGTCAATTGATTGCGGTGAGAAAGATTCACATACCTAGTTTCAATTGTTTTTCTGGAGCTTGTTCACTTCACTAAATGATTCACTCATTATCAGTGGGCAAAAATGCGAAAAAGCACCTCCAAGTTAGCATCCAATCACATCGAGTGTTCCGATCGCGAAAAACTTTCGTCCATTTTCCTGAGCGCGGCCGAAATCCAAACAATCAACTCACTTGATATTGTTAATATCTGTGACAAACTTAATTAGGCCCAGGACTACGACGTTAAACCGAATCTAAATATGACTGGCTTACGTCTAAGCCCACTGAGAAGTGACTTTAACGACATTAAAATGTGATATCGTTCCTCTGTTATCACTAAAACCCCGTATTTCGATGCCCCCATCTCGCTCGCTCCATCCCTTAGACCTGCTCACCATCCCCATCTCCCTTTGATCTATTGGTGATGATGGGAACAAGGGCAGGACCTCTCGCTTCCACGTTCTCTGCCGTTTCCATCTCGCATCCCCCTTCAGAAACTCCCTCATCCAGGGTCGGAATCGAGTCATTATTGGGATTTATGCAATTTGCCGTAACTCGTTTAATTCGGCGATGATTTAATATTATCCTGTGGTAAATTAGGCCAATTTTTCCATTTAAATGCCAGTTTGGTAGAAGATGATCGGATTGAAAGAGTTCACTTGAAGAGTTGGAATGGCCTGAAATATTTTTTTTTCTTACATCTTTAGTATCAGCGGCAAGAGGTGGTTTTTATTGAATTATTTTCTGGCTTTTATATGCTTAATGCTATATATTAATATTAATAAAATTGAGAACAGGTTTTTCCTCATAAAGTCTTTGTATCTCAGCAACGAAGAGACTATGGATCTTTTGGTTACTTGCTAATGTTGTTGTTAATGCTTGCAGATGATATTGAAAAATTAGGAGGAAAATGTAATCGAAATGTGTTTCATTTGCAACTATTCGAGAGTACAAGTTAAGTAAAGTTAAATAATTTGAAAATTTTACAGTAAAACCAAATATAATTTGGATAATGAAACCAATTTTCTAAATTTGGTGACGATTTCATTAAGAAAAATCATGCAATTTAGATAGTTTCTATGATTTTTTGCTGAATGTTGCTGGTTCTTCTTCAATTATTTTCCAGCTTTCATACAGGGTGTTCCGTAAATTTCAATTTTGGTATACAGTATAAGCTAATTGAGTACCATTCTATGATAGTGTTTCGTGGTTCAGTTTGCTGATTTTAATACAGGGTAGAAATGTGGAACCCCTACTTTTGTTTTGTTTTGAACTTTTTTGTGTGCACTTAACCTTTTCTCGCATAGTTTTGTTAATTACTACAAGTTATTTACCAACTTTTTTATCTCTTATTATTTTTCTCAAGACCACTAGTTTGTCCGCAAAAAAATAAAATCGTTTTCTTTGCCTTTATCAAAATGTGTAAGTAATTAAGTGAATTTTTTTAAATCTAAAAACGTTTTCAGATAATAATTTTGGTACGCATTATTAGTTGATTACTAACAACCTAAATTATTTTTCTAAATTGTGTATTTTGGTTCAGATTACAATTATTAAGCTTGAATAAATTTTACTTAAATAATAACAATATGCGCAACGATATAAACAAACCAAATTAAATTTAAATAACCATTCTAAGTAAACTTAGCAGCTGTTAAAATTGGTCACCTTGACATTCGTGGCATAATCACAGTCTTATAATGAAATTAAAATTTACAGACCGTAAAGTTTGAATTGAAGTTTTTATTTTGTTAGAAATATTAAATATTCTTTCATGAAGTTCTTCGATTGTATTCACTTCTGTTGAATACACCGTATTTTTTAAATGGCCCCAGAAGTAAAAATCAAGCGCGTTTAGATCGGGAGGTCTGGGAGGCGAGTTTATAGGAGCTTCTTGACCTCTTTCAATCCAACGGCTTGGAAAGTTTTGATCAAAACAATTTAATTTTTTTGCGGGCAAACTAGTGCACTTAGGAAACAACAATAAGGGATAAAAAAATTGATAAATAACTTGTAGTAATTAAAAAAATCATGTTGATTAAAGTTTAGGTGGACACAAAAAAGTTCTGATCAAAACAAAAGTAAAGGTTCCACATTTCTACCCTGTATAAAAGTAAACTAAACTACAAAACACTACCATGGAATGGCGCTCAATTAGCTTTTAATGCATACCAAAATTGAAGTTTCTATGTTTAATCGTTTAAAAAAAAAACAACAAATACTAATATTTTTCGACATTTTGGAGATCAAATATCTCAAAAATGAGACCTCAAATTTAAAAAATTCTCAGGAAGACCCCCCTTTAAAATGACTAGGAGAACACGCTGTAAAAATTTTTTAACATATTTAAGGAACACCCTGTATATTACCTACTGAAGGATATTAAAGAAGCAACTTTGATTGAATGATTCCGAAATAACACGCTCATATTGATAAAAAAAATTTGAAAAAGTGTGCACTTTTTCCATCACAATGGAACGAAGAACTGTTGAAACTTGAGTTGATTCCCATTTAGGGGCTTCTACAAAACTTCCCCATTTGTTGCCGAGTGCAACTGGGTGAACGCAGACCAGTAAACTCTGCCAATCTCACACATTGAAACCTTTCCATTTTGAGTATATTTTTTACCCTCGTACAGTTGAACACATCCTTTCACATTAAACATCAACTAACTCCACTTTCACTGATGACCACTACAGTGTAAGCTCTCAAGCAAACCACCTCTGAAGAAACAAGAAATTCTATTGTACGACGGCCTAAAAACCCGAAAAACTCACAAGTTTCAGACTTATAACTATGAGAAGTTTTTCACTAGAATGCTACTGGCTCTAAGTAGTTGGGCGAGTTCGGTTTATAAAACTTAAAATTAAGTGCAAAAGCAATGCTTGATTCCAAACCAAGAAAATCTAAAATATATTCTCTTACTGTATTCGAATGCATTATTTGGAAAATACCTCTGAAGTTTTTGATGACACTTAACTGTAGCTATTTTATCCACATCTACAGTGTTCCAAGTGGATTAATAGTATGTACTTACATTTCTCTTCCAAATAATCTGCTGATTGCCTTGAAAGTTAATGGGAATTATTTTGAAAAAAGTCATATTCAACACCCTTACTAAATGACATGCTTCCAAAAAAATAACAGACATTTGGCTACTTCTCATTCTTCAACAGTTTCCGAAAAAAATCCTCGCCTTCTATTCTAATTAACAAAGTCTGCATTCATATGAAAATTTTCAAAGATAAATAGCGTTTTTTAACAAAAAACGGTTCCATAATGTTTCAAAAGAACAACTCTTTGCAGCAAGCAGCCCGAGCAGATTTTCATGCGGGTTGCATAAACCGCTACATACAACCCTGTATTATTTCGACATACCTCTGTGTGCCATCCGATTGTAACCACCCTTAAATCTTTCTCTCTTTTCAGCCAAACGAAATTCTCGCTTGCACGCTACTGTCTTCGCAACCTTTGCGCCCCAGCCAATGGGAATGTTGGAGCGTGCAAGCACAGCTTGTGATTGGGCGGCTTGAGGGTGCGTTTCCGCGGCAACGCCAATAGGATGCCCGGCCAGCTAAAATGGCAGGGTGGCAGTACACAGTGGCCTCAGGGTGCGTTCGATTTTTCCTATTTTCTTGTATGTTTGGTCGGCTGCTGACTTTTAGTTACATATTACATGGAAGTGGTTTTTTTTCTGTTGTTGGGCGTATTGTTGGACCGTGTGGAGTTGGGAGTTGTTTGCTTCTAATCAGCAGGTTCAGATTGATATTTCGTGCTTTCACCATATTGAAATTGGACTTGGAACTGAATCGAAGTTGAGCACAATTTAAGCGAATTAAATTTCCTCGCTATCTACAAAGGATCGAAGCCTTTTCAAACTTTCAAAGGGTGGATATGCACGAATTTAAATGTATCCATCCCACATGTCCCGTTTCGCTACTCCCTGCTATTTTAAAAATGCGCATCTCATTTTACCAAAGTGTATTAGATTACGTTCGTTTCTGCATTTCCATTTGCAACAGATGACTGATGGAGCCTATTTATTATCTGCATTTCCATCTTATCTTTTACGGCATGTTTTTTAAATTGCTTTGAAGAGCTTTCAATAAAGTTGGCCATTTAACAGCAACTATTAGCTTATTAAGCCGCTCAACATTTCCAACTTGTGACTGGATACTATCGAATTCTAGTTGCTGATCGCAATTTTCAACACATCAGGTGGAAAGTTGATACAAAAATTGTGTGCTGCATTCTTTTTGATTCTATTGAATTTGAAATGAGTTGGGCTTTCATAGGCATTGCTTGAAACTGGGACTGGGGAGTTTTTGGGCTTATAAACAGTTGAGGAAAATAATTTTGTGTCTGACGTTTCCATGCATGAGTGGCTCGCATCTTCAGTGGTAGCGGGCTCTGCTTCAAAAAATTCTTGCCTTCAAGACTAAACATGGTTGATTCCCATGTTTAAAAAAATCAAACCATAAATAAATGTGTTTAGTTTTTTCTGGGCTTTGCCTCAGAATTTAATCGGATTGAATGTCTTGAAAATGTTCCTTGAATAGTCCAAAGCCTGGAACCTTTGAATCTGCTTTAACAACGTATCTAAAAGCTAATGTTTTTTAAACAACTGGACAAGTAGCTAAAACCTTGCCTTTAATACACGGATTTCTGCTACGATAAATTACCATTAATAATTTTTTTGTTTGAAAAAAGCTCTTGATAATTCTAAATGGAACAATTGAGTTCCCTATTCTTAGAACGCTGCCGGTTTTCTAACATCGTACCAAAAACTACATAATTAATCTTGAACTATTGCAGTCATTTCTAATTACGGTAAAACATGTTTATATTGTTGCTTTTTGTTAAAAAAAATTTAATTAAATAATATTAGTTTGCAGAATTTTTGTGGGAGGCAAGTTATTTTACATTTAAAGTGAAACACTCGGCGGTTTGGTATAAAAACGACTAGGAAAAAACAAAAAATCTCAAAAAGTTGCTCATATTAAGAGTAGGTTTTTAATTTTATGGGAGTTTTGAGACAATTTTCATGCACAATTAAAACCGGGCAAAAATCCAACAATCCAACATTAACCGCAGCACAAGCATTCCATTAACTTGTATTCTAATGATCCTTTCCCATCGTGTTACACGCTTCGTACGATACATCCGAGCACAAAACCCGAAATTAGATTTTCCATCGGCAAAATTCGCATTAAGACAAGAAAACGAAAATTTGAATATTGAGAACACACAAAGTATATGTATGTAGAATGAAGGGGTGGAAAGAG